CCGGCCGCTCACTCACCCGCTCGTGGAAGATCGACTCCATGTTTATTGTGAAGGGCCAGGGGCCTCCGCCTCACGTGACCTCTCCAACCAATCAAACCTCCCCTTGCTGGATGGCCCGCTGCAGCCAATCCGCGCGGGGCCCTGCCGGGGCGGTGGCGCGGAGCAGCGTCCCGAGTCGGGTTTGCAGCTGCCTTGTGCCGCCCTCTGCCGAGCGGGGGGTACGGTCGGTGCAGCACCTGGCCGGGAACCCCGGGTGGTTGAAAACGTCCGAGATGTCACCTCAGTGGGCAAGGGCAGAGCTACGGATGTCGCCTGTTTGGATCTCTCTGAGGCCTTTGGCACAGTCCCCCACAACATGCTTCTCTCTAAATTGGAGAGGTGTGGATCTGATGGGTGGAGCGTTCGGTGGATGAGGAATTGGTTGGATGGTCGCATCCAGAGGGTAGTAGTGGTCAATGGCTCAATGTCCAGATGGAGATCAGTGACAAGTGCTGTCCCTCAGGGGTCTGTGTTGGGACCAGTACTGTTCAGTATCTTCATCAATGACAGAAACAGTGGGATCGAGTGCACCTTCAGCAGATTTGCAGCTGACACCGCGTTGAGTGGTGCGGTTGACACACCTGAGGGACAGGATGCCATCCAGAGGGACCTGGACAGGCTCGAGAAGTGGGTCCATGTGAGCCTCATGAGGTTCAACAAGGCCAAGGGCAGGTCCTGCACCTGGGTCAGGGCAACCCATACAGGCTGGGCTTTATCTAATGCCTAGCGTGGTCCTTGGCTGACACTGCTGTAATAGCAACATAAATAAAGAGCAACAAATGTCTGTGTGCAAATAGCCTTTCAAAGAGCTAATTGCCTTCACCTGTGCCACCACACTCATAGTTGAGGTTTTTTTGCTTAGGCATCACAAACAGCTGTGGCCTGTGGTCAACAATGACTTCTGCAAGGGTCTTGGCATGGAGGTGTCTCTCTGAGCGCTCCCGGAAGCAGGTGGGGATGCTGGATACACAGCACCACGTGGTGTAGCCCATAAGTGGATTGTCTTTACTCCATCACAGATAATGCCTCAAGCCGCTGGGAAAACAGGTATTCTCCATTAGTGCTTTCCCTTCCTAGAATAACGAATAATGCCCTTGCCTGGTGCCAGCTATGGCACAGTGGCATTGCAGGTGAAGCCTGCCCAAAAAGATGCTGCAAGTTGAACAGTTTCTTGGGTTTTGTTCACCTCAGTTTCTCCCCTTTTCTCTGCCAGCAAAAAGGAATCTGCAAGTTCCTGTCCCACGAGTTTTATGAAATGCAGCTGAAAACGTACCCCCAGCTGCTTTGTAAACCCAGTGCCTTCCACCACAAAGATAACGGCTCCTGCCCTACCATCTTCTGGCACATGGAGGGAAAGGAGCAGAGCCTCAGGATTTCTACTGGGGAAGGAAATGAGGACTTCAAAGCTAACCTAGAACAGGCGGTGAGGAGGGTTCTGCGGAATTGCTGGAGATGCTAAAGGCAGGGTGTTGTGTCAGGCGACTCTGGGGATCGTGGAGGGATGATGAGCAGCGATACAGAATAAAGATCATAAAAATTATTTGAGTTTATTTAAATAATAAATTTTAGAACTAAAAGGTCTGCTTATGTGATGGTTTAACTAGAATCTGTGTGGGGACAGCTATATTTGGACTAAACCAAATGGTAAAAAAAGAAAATTATCATTAACTGTAGTACAGGGCAGAAAAGATTTTTTTCTGCATATCGGTTGTGTGGATGTTCCCTGTTTGTTGTCGGGGCTTAGGGGGGTGGTTGGTTTGTAGTTGGTTTTTCAGAGTGATCTTTTCACACACTGTAGAGGGGTGAGCATGAAATCATCCTTAGGTACCTATAAGGCACAGGGTGTAGAGGGTAAGAGGAACCAGAGGTAAGTTAGGGTGAGTGATTTGAAGAGCTCAGGATTCAGTTCAGGTGTTTTGGAGAAAGGATGTGGGGAAAAAAAATAACTTGGGGTAAAAAACCCAAACCAACACCGTTGCAGGAACCTGGCCCTGTGCATCTTTTCATGGATGGAAAGCACTAGGTGATGGAGATGCTTCTATCTTCTGTGCTTTGCATCCGAGGTGTCCTGCAAGACTGCCTGCCTCTAGCTGCTCCTACCTGTGAGTTCCGGCAGTGGGAAATGAGTGTTGAGTCCTAAATGCTGCTTAAGGATGTTTTTTTGTGTGATAAATTTGGAATGTGTTACTGTTAACCTGGAACGATTTGGGGAAGGTGCTTGTAGAATTGCTGTTGAAAACAGAATGAGTTCAGTTCTATGCAAAATGTTTAAAAATAAGGTTTAATTTTTCTCATTCATCTTTTTTAAATGGATAAAATGAGAAAAATGTTCTTGTGTGCCACCTTATCCTTCTGGTGCCCAAGCGCTGCTGTCCGCATCTTCAACAGCATCAGGTTTTGTCTTCAATGTAATGCTGTCGTGCCAGTCTGCAAAGACAAATGTGCGAGTGCGTGATCTTCTAATTGTGAATTCGTATGATCTGCCAGGCTGCAGGTCCTGGACTATGCATGTGTTGGAGCTGACTGGCTGAAGCCTACCGTATCCCAATTCTGCCTGATTCCCATTTGTCAGTAACTTAATGTGCAGTTGGCATGGTTCGAGGAATGACTCTTGATTTTCACTAAACCACTTGAGCTTGACCCGGTCCTTGTATGCAAATGATTCTCTTCGATCAAAAATCAGTGGCGTCTTTGTACAGAGAGAAAGCTTAATGGCGGGGAGTATAGACGCAAGATCTGCTTGTGACACCAAACGGCGCTTGACATAGAGCTTTCCTGGCACTTGCAAGGGAAGGAGAGTTTCCATAAACTTGGAGAGCTTGGACAGTCTCTGCATAATCATGTCCCACCCAGAGAGGAGAGATACCATGTCACAGGTCTCTATGCAACAGCTCAGCTCCTCCCGGCCTCGTTCCAGCTGTTCCAACAGCTCGGTTAAAAGCGACAGCTGGATTTCAGTCTGTTTTTTTCCCACCTTCTTCATTCTCTCCCATTGGATGGGGTCTATTACTTCCAGGATGTCAATGTGATGCATCTCGTGGTTGTGGTCTGTCACGTTCACATGTTTGGGCTCAATCTCCAAGTAAAAGCAACACTTCTTCAAAAGCTCAACTTTGTTCCGGTAGTGCTGGAGGTGGCTGAGGTTCAGGTCGGAGTGCAGGAACTGCAGAACAAGGTTTCTCCTTTTCAAGTACTGCTCCCAGCTGACATTGTCATCTTCTCCGTTGTGCGCAGTACCCTCCGAACTGGTTTCAAATTCATTCAAAATCACAGCCATGATTCCAAAGCTCAGTTGCTGTGTAAGCAGCAATAGTAACATTAAGAACCAAAGGTAAAGCAGCTGTGAGGGAGTATGATCATGGCTGTGACTCTTCTCTCCTAGTTATAAAGCTTAGCTTATAAATTTATAGATGGGAAAGAACTGTTAGAATAGGTGTAGTTCCAGAGGAATCTTCCTTTATAGTTGTATGGTTTCTAATGTTTCCTGTAGTCTTACTTTTATATATTCCAACCAACAGGTCTCCTGCTACCTCCCCTTGAGAGGTTCTACCTCAGCTTAATAGATTCATTGTCAGGAATTATTCTCTGATACACTCTGCCAAAATTTCTCCCTATCACATTATCTTCTGTTTTATTCCAATTAGATGTCTTTGTACTCCTGTAAGCAATTTCTTTCCATTCTTCTACATCACTGGAGAAGTCTATTTTTCTCTTTGTAGTCTGCCAGGCTGTTGAGGTTTGAGACGCATCTTCTGAGCCAGTTCCTACAGCTACACAATCACCTTGGTAATTCACACTAACCCTCGCCCCCCCAAGCGAGCTGCTAAGCTGCAGGCAGAACCATGCCATAAGCTGAGTGCTGCCTCACAACAGCTTTCAAGAATGCGAGCGGTTTTCCTTGCACCTCTACCTTTGACAGCAGATTGGCAGTCATAACCTGACAACACCATCACCTCCGCCCACAATATCTACTTGCTTTCTTGCAGAACTCTGCTACTTCATCAACAAGGTACCGTTAAGAGAATGAAACATAAGTAAAGCATCTGTGAACAGGTAACGGTTTGCTGGTAAGAAGGTGTTTAGGTAGTGGTCCTTCACAACACCATATCTGCTCTCTGTCTTAGTCTTAGCTGTTCCATTGCCTGACAAAGCCGTGCGCTGGTTGGTGGTGCCTGCTGTGCCAAGATGGAAGGTGTTTCTCTGTTGTGCTTCAGCTGAAGTACCTGTGGCTCACACAGCTTATGTATCATCAACAGAAATTTGCTAAATAAATGCCTCTGTCCCTGTTGTTGGAGATATTGTAATGAGAACCCAGCTTGACATTGAGAATGTGGCCTTCACAGGCTGAACATGCTTGATTTGAAAAATAAATAAATATGGAATTCTGAAAGTAAGATTTTGTGACCCCATTCAGACTGTGATGATATGATCTAGCAACAGGTAACTTTCCTCATTCAATGTAATTTTCTGGATATAATTATTTAAGTTATTGTATTATCTAACTGGGATATTTTAATTCTTACCACCATCTAGCTTCCTACAAGACATGTATCTAGTTGACAAAGCAATTTTTCTTAGCCTCATTTTCCCTAAATACATAACAGAACTAATAATACTTCCTCGTAGGAATTTCAAGTGTTTGTAAACCTTTCAGATGTCTGGCCCCTAGCTGCACTGCAATTTATACTAATTCACTCATTCTCAGCGACTTTTTTTCCAAGAGAGCTGTCAACTTAAAAAACAAGCTGTTTCCCTTTCATTTTTTTCTTTCCAAAAAAAAAACCCCAACCCCTAAGCCAAAGCAGTGCCAGCTCCTGGCATCCCTGTATGAAGTGCAACAGGGAAAGCACGTGCCCCAGGTTACATTGCCCTGCTTGCAGAGTGATGTGGCTCTCCAGAGCAGCCTGTTTGCCCACAGACAGAGCTGTGATTGTGTTTGTTTTCCTTTTCTGTTTTTATATACCTTTTTTTCTTGCCAGAAACAGCTGTTTTCCCAGTAGCTGCTGTGTTTGCAGCCTGGGAAGATGCAGTTGCCCAAGCCGGGGGCTGCCTGGCCCTGGGCTCCCCTGGCCAGGGCTTGAAGGGGATAGAAGGGGACACCCAGGGGAGCTGGAGCCACCCCAATGCCTTCCCCATAGCTCAAACCCAGCCCCTCATCCCAGGGCAGCGGCCTCCTCATGCTGCCCCAGGCTGAGGACAAGCCCTGTCTCCCCAGCCTGCCTTACCCTGCCCCATCGAGCTGTGACCCACCGAGCCAGGCCCCGGGGAGCTCTGTCCACTGGCCCCAGCCCAGCCATGGTGACACACTATGGCATGCAGGGCTGGTGCCAGGGGTCCCTGCCTGCCCTCGCCACTGCCCAGGCCTGGGTAGCCACGGGCAAACCGCGTGGGGACAAGACTCCAGCGATGTGGGCAGATGTAGGTGCTGTTCCCTCTCCCTGCCATCAGTTTCCACCATCCAGCCATGCCCGGGGGCACTGAGCACCTGGCACCCACTGACATCTCCCCTGAGCCCCTGCTTTTCACCATGATGCTTTTTGCTCTTGGCAGCAGTGGTTTGTGGGGACGTACCCCAATTGTTTACAGGGCTGTAGCCCCCCAAATTGTTCTTACCTTCCCCTCCCTAAATCTCTGTAATCTGCTCCTCAGATGCCCTCCCCTTTGCCCTCCAGTCCCTGGGGAAAGATGGTACCTTAGGTCTCTGTGGGTTCAGTGACACCAGGCTGGCCCCAAGGGGAGACGGCTGCATGTGTGGGGAAAGGATTGCAGCCGTGCTCTCCTTCACCTGCTTAATTAGCAGCATCTGTTTTAATACCAAGAGCAGTGGCGCAGGTCGCTTACAGCGCACCAGCACACAATGCCTGGCTGCTGTAGTCACAATGTGATACATCTCCCGGCGCTGGGCACAGGCCGAGGGGTCGGTGTGATCCTGGGCTGGGTGTCACGCAATTCAAGGTACGGTAAGGCTCCGTCCCCCACCCCAGGGTTGTGCCTGGGTTGTTACCCATCAGGCTGGAGGGCAGGGAGAATAGCAGAGGGGCCGAGGGCTCTGTGCTTCCACCTTAACAGGCACGTTTTGTTTCATTCCCATCTTAGGCCCTTGCTGTTGTGATGGGGCTTTGCGAGTGCCAAGCTGACAAAAGGACTGTGTGCTGAGAACCACAGGATTTGTGATCATTGGGGCATCGAAAATATGATTTCCAAAGCTTTGCTTCCCTGTGCAACATTCCCATTCCTCCTCCAGCACGTTTCACCTCTGCTTGGTGAGCAGCGGCCTCAGCGTTTTATGAATCCTAGCTCCAGGGCCAAGGAGCATACCTGAGCTGCTTCACTGTGGGCTGGTTTAGACCTCTCTTCTCTCTGCAGAGCCCAGACCTCAGCAGCAAACTGTGGGGACACGGCCTCGAGCCAACGGTGTCTGCAGAGAGAGATAAAGTAGTTAAGGCAGGACAGCAGAAAATGGTAAATGGTAGCTCAGTGCAAGGTGCAGCGAATGAAGCACTGAGCAGAAAAGCTGGCTCCATCCTGGGAAGCCTTACGGTCATGCTAGTGGCACCCTGCACGGTGGCCGCGGTGAAGAGCTGTGCTGGCACCCAGCTGCTCCGTTTCTCCCAATGCAGACTCAGTGAAACACTGAGGAAGCATCGTTTTAAAGAAACAGTTGGTTTAGTTGGGTTTTTTGTTTGTTTTTTTTTTTTTTAAGGAAACACTGAGCTCAGCCCTGACAGTCCTCAGTCTGCAGTAACATCTCCTTACCCCACAGAGCCAGGCCAGGCCACAGGCAATAGGGCCCCGGCTCCCACCCAGGGCAGAGGACACCAAGCTGCTGCCTGACCCGGACACCGGAAGGGTGCTGGGGGGGAAGAGTGTGGCCCGTCCAGGCAGGGCACAGGCCAGATGTCCCCTGTGAGGTTCGGGAGCTGCCACGGGGCCAGCACAGGGACTGGAGAAGGCTCGAAGTCGAGCACACAGGGCCAGATTATCTTTGCCAACCCCATGCCTGTAACGTTCAATTTTGCACTGACAACAGGAAGATTTTTCTCTAAGGATGGCAGATTTCAGGACTAACACCATTGCCACCATCATCTTGCTGCTTCCACTCCTTGAAAGGCTCCTCCCCATCCTCACAGCCCCTTCTGCCAAAACATTTGGGAGCATCTCTTGGGAAGGTCCGGGTGGCATTGCCCCACTGTGCCAGGAGGGTCTGTGGAGGAGCCAGGACCATCCCCCAGGTCTCCTTGGAAGGAAGCTGCAGCCGGGGCAGATGCACTAGGAGGAAATGCTTGTGTGTGTCCCACCATCCCAGCGAAGAGGACAGCAGGCGAGTAGCACATGTGGCTGGGCTGGGCTGGGCTGGGGAAGAATGCCAGGAATGCTGGGGCCATTAGCTTGGCCTGTCCCACATGGGACTTGGCCTGGATTTGGGGAGAGTAAGCAGTTTCCATGAGTTTTGTGGAAACAGGTGTCCGAAAGGTCAGAGTCCAGCGGCAAATTAATTTTAATAACCAGAGATGCTGGGATCCACCCGCCTCGCCTCTCTGTGCCGGCACATCCCAGCTAGGGCCAGCCCGTGGTCAAGCCCAGCATTTTCCCTGGCTGGGGCGGGCAGAGCATGGCCGGACACTGTTATTCCAGGTGGAACAACCAGCTTGGATGCTTCAGCGCAGCCCCGTCAAGGGGCTCCCCGTCCCTGTCCCACTGCTGTGGGGCTTCGCTGACAGATGGAGACTGTGTGCTGGCTACCCCCAGGCTCAGCAACAAAAACAAACACCATTGGCCACAGTCAAGCCAGAAGGCCCCCAAAACCCAATGCTGGCCCAGTGCTGCCCAAGATCACTGGCTGAGGTGAACCCCAAACCTCGCCGTGGCACCACAGGGCTGGACAAAGCAAAGGCACAAAGTGCAAAAATCATCTGTGAAGTCTGGGAGCAGGGTCATGCACAGCGTCCCTCACAGTAGGCTACTCCCGTCAGGTAATCCTCCACCTGCCTTCCTCCTGGTGTGTGCTCTTCAACCCAGATGGGTGCTGCTTGCGGAGTGGCATCCAGGATTCACTGCGTGTGTACAGCTGGGAGCCAGGGCATCGCTTTGATGTGGTCTCAGTGAGCTGGGGAAAAGCAGCTCACTTATCGATCTGCAACAACCAGTTGGTATGCCACCACTCCCAAGGAGGGATGAAGGCAGCTGCAAAACACGAGATAAAATCCTCCTGCCTCCTTGCAGGCCTTCTGACCTTCCAGCTTATGTCAGACTGTAAGTGGACGGGGCTTGCAACGT